AATGCTTTTGCGCAAGAGGGCCAGCGTAGACAACGCGGTATTGTTTTGCGCAAAAAAAGCCCCGATCGCAAAAATGGCGATGGGGCTTTCTTGCGCAAAACCACGTCTAGATTGGCACAGACGCTTTTCCACAAAAAGTGATTTTGCACAAAAGCATCCGTGCCAATCTAGACACTCTTTTCCGCAAATGCTTTTAATGGAAAAACTTTTCCGTTAAAAGCATTTGCAGAAAATCATGCCAGTCTAGACATAGCCTGCAGTGTGTTAGGGCAGCAGACAGAGAGGAGCAGTTACATCAAGTCACAACAATGACTCTGCATCTTCTAGGCTTACAACATGCCCTATCAGATAGCCTCAGCAGACAATTTCCAGATAAACTTGAATGGATTATCAAAGATTTTGGTTCTGCAAAGCATCTTCATAGTTAGGGATGTGAGGGATACGAGTTATTTGCTTCAAACCAGAATAAAAAGTGTTCCATACCAGAAGTGATTTGAGCCCCAGATGCCTTCCTCATCTCATGGACTCCAGGGATCATACATGTCTTCCCACCCTTTCCTTTGATGTCAAGGGTTTTGAAGGAACTCAGACAAGATTTAGCCTTAATGATTATGGTAGCCCCAGTTTGGGTCAGATGGTTTTGTTGCAGTGACCTGTCAATATCACCTCCACTTACATTACCTGTACTACCTAATGTGATTTTGCAAAACAAAGGTCAGATCTTACACCAAGATCCAGCCTCTTTACATCCGACAACTTGGTTAGCTGACTGCCAGTGAAAAAAATTGTTCAGCTGAAGTTCAAAACATTTTAGTACATACCAGAAAAAAGCTATACGAGACTGACCTACACAGCAAAATAGAAGAAGTTTTCTGTTTGTGCAGTGTGACATCACCTTGGAGTCCCCTGTTTCTGCTATTTTGGATTCTTGGCTAGCACTAAAACAGTTGGGATCATCTATCAAATCCATACTGATATATTTAGAGCAGTATCAGTATATCTTCCCCCTATTCTTCATGGACAAAGTCAGCTCCCAGACAAATGCACTAGGCAAAGCAGTATGGGAAGAAGGTGGACAGCCCTTGGTGGGAAAAGAACAAGTTAGGAACTGTTTAGAAAAGCTAAACATACACAAATCCATGGGCCCAGATTTAACGCATCCGAGGGTACTGAGGGAGTTGGCAAATGTCATTGCAGAGCCTTTGGCCATTATTTTTTAAAACTCATGGAGATCGGGAGAGATCCAGGAAGATTGGAAAAAGGCAAATATAGTGCCCATATTTAAAAAAGGGAAGAAGGACAATCCACAGAACTACAGACCAGTCAACCTTACCTCAGTCCCTGGAAAAATCATGGAGGGGATCCTCAAGGAATCCATTTTGAAGCACTTGGAAGAGGGGAAAATGATCAGGAATAGTCAACATGGATTCATGAAGGGCAAGTCGTGCCTGACCAATCTAATTAGCTTCTATGAGGAGGTAACTGGCTCTGTGGATATGGGAAAGGCAGTGGATGTGATATACCTTGACTTTAGCAAAGCTTTTGATACTCCCACAGTATTCTTGCCAGCAAGTTAAGGGAATATGGATTGGATAAATGGACTGTAAGATGGATAGAAAGCTGGTTAGAGTGTCAGGCCCAATGGGTAGTGATCAACGACTCGATGTCAGGATGGTGGTTCGTTTCTAGCAGAGTGCCCCAAGGATCTGTTCTAGGACCGGGTTTGTTCAACATCTTTATTAATGACCTGGATGAGGGGATGGATTACACCCTCAGCAAGTTTGCAGATGACACTAAACTGGGGGCAGGGATAGGGTCCAGAGTGACCTGGACAGATTAGGGGATTGGGCCAAAAGAAATCTGATGAGGTTCAACAAGGACAAATGTAGAGTCCTGCACTTGGGACGGAAGCATCCCAAGCATTGTTACAGGCTGGGGACCAACTTGCTAAGTAGCAGTTCTGTAGAAAAGCACCTGGAGATTATAGTGGATGAGAAGCTGGATATGAGTCAACAGCATGCCCTTTTAGCCAAGAAGGCAAATGGCATATTAGGGTGCATTAGGAGGAGCATTGCCAGCAGATCCAGAGAAGTGATTATTCCCCTTTATTCAGCTCTGGTGAGGCCACCTCTGGAGTATTGTGTCCAGTTCTGGGCCCCCCCACTATAGAAAGGATGTTGATGCATTGGAGAGGTTACAATGGAGGGCGACCAAAATGATTAGGGGGCTGGAGCGCATGACCTCTGAGGAGAGACTGAGGAATTTGGGTTTGTTTAGTCTGCAGAAGAGAAGAGTGAGGGGAGATTTGATAGCAGCCTTCAACTTCCTGAAGGGAGGTTCCAAAGAGGGCAGAGAAAGGCTGTTCACAGTAGTGCGGTTGGCAGAACAAGGAGCAATGATCTCAAGTTACCATGGGAGAGGTCTAGGTTGGATATTAGGAAAAACTATTTCACTAGGAGGGTGGTGAAGCACTGGAATGGGTTACCTAGGGAGGTGGTGGGTTGATTTAGTTGGGATTGGTCCTGCCATGGGCAGGGAGCTGGACTTGATGACCTCCTGAGGTCTCTTCTAGCTCTATGATTCTATTCAGAGTCATATATTTTCCCATTCTGAAGTTGTTAGATCTTTCACAAAAGCCTCATTGGAGACATTATACGGATTGAACGTCTCTCATCCGGGACTCCCTGGTCCGGCAGCATCTGTGGTCTGGCAGAAGCACGGATGTTGCTAGACCAGAGAGCCCCAGCCACAGAGGTTGAAAGCAGCTGGGTGGGAGCAAAGCCGGTCTGGTGAGCAGCAGCCTGAAGGGGCAGTGATCTGGGGGTAGACAGCACAGAAGCAGCTACTGCCATCTCTACCTGGGATTCCCTGACCTCATGCAGGCCTGTCACATGCAGGGCTAGGGCACTCCAGGAGCAGCTGCTGCTGCCGCACACAGGATCGTAGCCAGGGAACACTGGGAGCAGCTTCTGCCACTGCACCTGGGACCTGGGCTGAGGAACCCTGGGAGCAGCTGCTGCTGCCACTGTCACGGAACCCTTTGAACAGCTGTCTCCTTGTGTGGGGCTGGGAGGAGCAGGGAGCACAGCCCTGTGAGTGGACTTGGGGCAGCAGAGCCAGGCAGGTGTACTGCAGGAGGTCAGGCCTCCAGCTTCTCCCAGGGCAGCAGCCAGGAGGGGAGCCCTAGGAGAGCCTGACCTTCTCTCGTGCGGCAAATTCCCTTGTTCAGAGCTACTCCAATCCCGAGGGTGTCGGACCAGGGACGTTCATCGTGTAATAGCATAAACAGAGTTAAAAGTAATTTCTTTTCAACCCATATCAACTTGTGTTTTATATACTCTGTCTGCAAAGATTCCCTTTTTAGTTACTATTGCATCTCCTCAGAAATTCTTTTTAAAATAGTTATTTTATTAGTCTGATTCAGAATAGACCCTTACCATGAGGTTACCCATATTTTGTATTCCTATCATGAGACTTAAGTTTAACACTAATACTCCCTTGTTGCTCCTATGACCGTGTGGTAATTTTCCATATCCAAGCCTCTTTTAAAAGCTGTATTTTGTTCAAACTTGTGGGCATTTTTCACCTCTTCTGACTGAGCCTAATTTAAAGCCTTGCTAGGTTGGCGAGTCGGTTTGTGAAGGTGCTCTTTTCCTTCTTGGTCAGATGGGCTCCATTTTTTCTCAACAGACCACTTTCCCAAAACAGCATCTCGTGATTGACAATTCTGAAGCCCTCCCATCGACACCAACTGTTCAACTATCCATTTATCTGCAGGATGTACATGTCCCTTCTTAAGCCTTAATACTTAACTGGGAGCAAAGATGGACAAGAACACAGACATTTTCATTCTAAAGTTTAGTATAGAAAATAGACTTAATTTTATATAAATTACACACACACTAATAGTTCTCCTTTAGGACTTCTACTTATTAACAAGTTTTTGTCTCTTGTATTTGGCTTGTTTTATTTTCCTCTGTGAACATCTACTATAAATATTGTAGATTTTCAAAGACTATGTTGTTTGTTCATTGTGATATTTCTGTTTATTAAACTCTCACAGGTTTCAGAGATTACAGAGTGCAAATTACCCCATGTCTTTAAAAAGTAATTAAAATCTTTTAAATGTAGCTCACCTTTATTTGTAGCTCTATCTATCCATAAACAGAGGACCTGTTTGATTTCTTTTGCCTTCTCAGCTTGAGTATATTTAAAAACTACAAAACAAAATAAGTGCAATATGCAGTTTAGTAGAGTGGCTTTACTTTTTTCTTAGAACAAATTTTCAAGAAAACTCATAGACTGCTCTTGTCTTATGGAAATAAAACTCAGTATTTAAGCATATAAATCGTCTGTAAGGTGTACCTGATTCTAATATTGTTTCAGATATTTGTAGTTGTGTAGTGGTTTTCTGAACAGAAGGGACATGTTAAAATAGCAGAAACATGACTGTAAAGTAAACTTTACATTCGTTTCACGCTGCATGTTGCTAGTGACAGGTGCTCAATGATTGTCAGTACCCTTGTCAGCAAAGAGAATCCTTTGACATTAAAGTCCCCAGTTCAACCCTGATGCTGTGTGCCTCTATTGGCAGGTCCATCAGGCTGTAGCTGGTCAGCGAATGTCAGAGCTGTTGTTCTTCTGGGATGTCACCAGTCCCCTGTGTTTTCAGTTTGGCCTTGCTTGCTGTTTGAACTTACCACACTTTCCAACTGCTGTCCTTTGGGAAATGAACTGATAGGTCATGGGAATATAGGTATCTTTAGGCCATGCAAAATTTCATCCAAAATGACTTACATAAAGGCTTCTAATGATTATCTTGACTCTAAGCCAATCAATGCTCAAAGCGCTTAGGGACTCATTAAATGGCATTTGTGGTGTCTGTAACCCAAGTTTTGAGTTGTATTTCAGGGAAAGTGGTGACAGCCTTTAATGTCTAATTGACCTCTTCTCTTTGATTTGCTTTCCATATTTGCTTCTGATGTGGTCCCCAATGGCAGCAAACAGCACTGCTCAGCATTCTGAACTTTTGTTCAGAGCTTCAGCACCTCAGCCTAGGTAGTTGTGTCATGGTAAGTTCCTGAAGTCAAGTTTGCATGTGGGTGTGTGAGACATAACTCAGACTGAACTTAACTGTTCTTTGCTCAAAGTATTAAAAGATAATTTACTTCATTTCCTTAATTGACATTAGCCTCTATTTTAATAGAAGAATAAAAATATTTGTGTGTTTAAAAGGACACTGGCCAATTTTGTAGGCATAACTTTTTTTTTTTTGCGCTTCTAGAACTAATGTTTAATGTTCTTTTTTATTTAAAACACATATTTAATCTTGTAAGCCCAGCACTTGTGAACAGCCCTACAGTAATAAATCTCTGTGTATGCATAATGAGTTAGTTTTAATGAAGATATTTTCAGTCACAGGCTTCTTAGGGCTCGTCTGCAGAAGAGAAGAGTGAGGGGAGATTTGATAGCAGCCTTCAACTTCCTGAAGGGAGGTTCCAAAGAGGGCAGAGAAAGGCTGTTCACAGTAGTGAGGGACAGCAGAATGAGGAGCAGTGGTCTCATGTTACAGTGGGGGATGTCTAGGTTGGATATTAGAAAAAACTATTTCCCTAGGAGGGTGGTGAAGCACTGGGATGGGTTACCTAGGAAGGTGGTGGAATCTCCATCCTTAGAGGTTTTTAAGTCCCAAGTGACCAAGCCCTGGCTGGGTTCATTGAGTTGGGATTGGTCCTGCTTTGGGCAGGGGGTTGGACTTGATAACTCCTCAGATCTCCTTTAGCCCTAGGGGTATGTCTACACTGCCACCCTAGTTTGAACTAGGGTGGCTAACGTAGGCATTCAAACTTGCAAATGAAGCCCAGGATTTAAATATCCTGGGTTTTTATTTGCATGTTCCCGGGCACCGCCATTTTTAAATGCCCCGTAGTTGTCAGGATGGCAGTTGGTTTCTAGCAGAGTGCCTCAAGGGTCAGTTCTGGGACCGGTTTTCTTCAACATCTTTATTAATTACTTGGATGAGGGGATGGATTGCACCCTCAGCAAGTTTGCGGATGACACTTAGCTAGGGGGAGAGGTAGATATGCTAGAGGGCAGGGATAGAGTCCAGAGTGACTTAGGCAAATTGGAGGATTGGGCCAAAAGAAATCTGATGAGGTTCAACAAGGACAAATGTAGAGTCCTGCACTTGGGACGGAAGCATCCCAAGCATTGTTACAGGCTGGGGACCAACTTGCTAAGTAGCAGTTCTGTAGAAAAGCACCTGGAGATTATAGTGGATGAGAAGCTGGATATGAGTCAACAGCATGCCCTTTTAGCCAAGAAGGCAAATGGCATATTAGGGTGCATTAGGAGGAGCATTGCCAGCAGATCCAGAGAAGTGATTATTCCCCTTTATTCAGCTCTGGTGAGGCCACCTCTGGAGTATTGTGTCCAGTTCTGGGCCCCCCCACTATAGAAAGGATGTTGATGCATTGGAGAGGTTACAATGGAGGGCGACCAAAATGATTAGGGGGCTGGAGCGCATGACCTCTGAGGAGAGACTGAGGAATTTGGGTTTGTTTAGTCTGCAGAAGAGAAGAGTGAGGGGAGATTTGATAGCAGCCTTCAACTTCCTGAAGGGAGGTTCCAAAGAGGGCAGAGAAAGGCTGTTCACAGTAGTGCGGTTGGCAGAACAAGGAGCAATGATCTCAAGTTACCATGGGAGAGGTCTAGGTTGGATATTAGGAAAAACTATTTCACTAGGAGGGTGGTGAAGCACTGGAATGGGTTACCTAGGGAGGTGGTGGGTTGATTTAGTTGGGATTGGTCCTGCCATGGGCAGGGAGCTGGACTTGATGACCTCCTGAGGTCTCTTCTAGCTCTATGATTCTATTCAGAGTCATATATTTTCCCATTCTGAAGTTGTTAGATCTTTCACAAAAGCCTCATTGGAGACATTATACGGATTGAACGTCTCTCATCCGGGACTCCCTGGTCCGGCAGCATCTGTGGTCTGGCAGAAGCACGGATGTTGCTAGACCAGAGAGCCCCAGCCACAGAGGTTGAAAGCAGCTGGGTGGGAGCAAAGCCGGTCTGGTGAGCAGCAGCCTGAAGGGGCAGTGATCTGGGGGTAGACAGCACAGAAGCAGCTACTGCCATCTCTACCTGGGATTCCCTGACCTCATGCAGGCCTGTCACGTGCAGGGCCAGGAGACTCCAGGAGCAGCTGCTGCTGCCGCACACAGGATCGTAGCCAGGGAACACTGGGAGCAGCTTCTGCCACTGCACCTGGGACCTGGGCTGAGGAACCCTGGGAGCAGCTGCTGCTGCCACTGTCACGGAACCCTTTGAACAGCTGTCTCCTTGTGTGGGGCTGGGAGGAGCAGGGAGCACAGCCCTGTGAGTGGACTTGGGGCAGCAGAGCCAGGCAGGTGTACTGCAGGAGGTCAGGCCTCCAGCTTCTCCCAGGGCAGCAGCCAGGAGGGGAGCCCTAGGAGAGCCTGACCTTCTCTCGTGCGGCAAATTCCCTTGTTCAGAGCCACTCCAATCCCGAGGGTGTCGTACCAGGGACGTTCATCGTGTAATAGCATAAACAGAGTTAAAAGTAATTTCTTTTCAACCCATATCAACTTGTGTTTTATATACTCTGTCTGCAAAGATTGCCTTTTTAGTTACTATTGCATCTCCTCAGAAATTCTTTTTAAAATAGTTATTTTATTAGTCTGATTCAGAATAGACCCTTACCATGAGGTTACCCATATTTTGTATTCCTATCATGAGACTTAAGTTTAACACTAATACTCCCTTGTTGCTCCTATGACCGTGTGGTAATTTTCCATATCCAAGCCTCTTTTAAAAGCTGTATTTTGTTCAAACTTGTGGGCATTTTTCACCTCTTCTGACTGAGCCTAATTTAAAGCCTTGCTAGGTTGGCGAGTCGGTTTGTGAAGGTGCTCTTTTCCTTCTTGGTCAGATGGGCTCCATTTTTTCTCAACAGACCACTTTCCCAAAACAGCATCTCGTGATTGACAATTCTGAAGCCCTCCCATCGACACCAACTGTTCAACTATCCATTTATCTGCAGGATGTACATGTCCCTTCTTAAGCCTTAATACTTAACTGGGAGCAAAGATGGACAAGAACACAGACATTTTCATTCTAAAGTTTAGTATAGAAAATAGACTTAATTTTATATAAATTACACACACACTAATAGTTCTCCTTTAGGACTTCTACTTATTAACAAGTTTTTGTCTCTTGTATTTGGCTTGTTTTATTTTCCTCTGTGAACATCTACTATAAATATTGTAGATTTTCAAAGACTATGTTGTTTGTTCATTGTGATATTTCTGTTTATTAAACTCTCACAGGTTTCAGAGATTACAGAGTGCAAATTACCCCATGTCTTTAAAAAGTAATTAAAATCTTTTGAATGTAGCTCACCTTTATTTGTAGCTCTATCTATCCATAAACAGAGGACCTGTTTGATTTCTTTTGCCTTCTCAGCTTGAGTATATTTAAAAACTACAAAACAAAATAAGTGCAATATGCAGTTTAGTAGAGTGGCTTTACTTTTTTCTTAGAACAAATTTTCAAGAAAACTCATAGACTGCTCTTGTCTTATGGAAATAAAACTCAGTATTTAAGCATATAAATCGTCTGTAAGGTGTACCTGATTCTAATATTGTTTCAGATATTTGTAGTTGTGTAGTGGTTTTCTGAACAGAAGGGACATGTTAAAATAGCAGAAACATGACTGTAAAGTAAACTTTACATTCGTTTCACGCTGCATGTTGCTAGTGACAGGTGCTCAATGATTGTCAGTACCCTTGTCAGCAAAGAGAATCCTTTGACATTAAAGTCCCCAGTTCAACCCTGATGCTGTGTGCCTCTATTGGCAGGTCCATCAGGCTGTAGCTGGTCAGCGAATGTCAGAGCTGTTGTTCTTCTGGGATGTCACCAGTCCCCTGTGTTTTCAGTTTGGCCTTGCTTGCTGTTTGAACTTACCACACTTTCCAACTGCTGTCCTTTGGGAAATGAACTGATAGGTCATGGGAATATAGGTATCTTTAGGCCATGCAAAATTTCATCCAAAATGACTTACATAAAGGCTTCTAATGATTATCTTGACTCTAAGCCAATCAATGCTCAAAGCGCTTAGGGACTCATTAAATGGCATTTGTGGTGTCTGTAACCCAAGTTTTGAGTTGTATTTCAGGGAAAGTGGTGACAGCCTTTAATGTCTAATTGACCTCTTCTCTTTGATTTGCTTTCCATATTTGCTTCTGATGTGGTCCCCAATGGCAGCAAACAGCACTGCTCAGCATTCTGAACTTTTGTTCAGAGCTTCAGCACCTCAGCCTAGGTAGTTGTGTCATGGTAAGTTCCTGAAGTCAAGTTTGCATGTGGGTGTGTGAGACATAACTCAGACTGAACTTAACTGTTCTTTGCTCAAAGTATTAAAAGATAATTTACTTCATTTCCTTAATTGACATTAGCCTCTATTTTAATAGAAGAATAAAAATATTTGTGTGTTTAAAAGGACACTGGCCAATTTTGTAGGCATAACTTTTTTTTTTGCGCTTCTAGAACTAATGTTTAATGTTCTTTTTTATTTAAAACACATATTTAATCTTGTAAGCCCAGCACTTGTGAACAGCCCTACAGTAATAAATCTCTGTGTATGCATAATGAGTTAGTTTTAATGAAGATATTTTCAGTCTCAGGCTTCTTAGGGCTATGAATTTGTGATTACTTAAAAAAAAATAAAAATAGGAATTGCTGATAGAGGGAGGGGCCCATGCAGCTCTCTGTGACTATAGCTATAGCAGAGTACTTAACATGAGAATTGGTAGACTTCTCCATTCACTCAGGAAGCAAAAGACAAAGGAAGAGATGACAGGCCTCCCCCAGTTGTCTCAGCAGAAATTGGAAGAGTTAGCAGGTATTGTTCCCTCCAACCATCTAGACTTCCTATCATGCCTTTAATAGTGGACTAACACTGTCCATACAGTGGGTCACTTCCTTCCCCCAATTTCCACAGTGAGAATTAGTAATGCTTCCTTGAAGGCTAGATCCAGGTTCAACCCCTGTACAACCTTGAAAAGGGATGGGGCTTATTCTTTTGTTCATATGTAGATGTATGCACACTGTTTTATTAAGTGTCGTTAAACTGCCAGTAGCTCTGTTGTTATCCCTCTGCTTGCCCCTCTGTATAAGCAGGACAGATCACTGTCAATTAAACTTAATTACCCATTGTGGGGGGAAAACAGTTCTTAGAAAATAGCACTAGCAAAGAAAAAAGGAATGTTTGGAAAAAAATCGATTTTAATTATAGATTTTAACTTGTCTTTCTTATTCAATGCTTAAAACCAAAAAAGTTTAAAAACTGATTGCAAACTTCCCTTGTCATTGTCTTTTTTTAAACAAAGCAGAATGAGATGTGTCCAATATGATGATGATCTCCTCTTCAAATTCTTTAGAAATTAAAAAACACTTAGACTGATCAATAGATGTATTAGCAAACAAAGCTGCTTGGGTATAACTGGAAATAAGGCTATAAGAATGGTGCTTGTTTTCTTCACAGATTGAAGACTATGACCTGATAGCAAGTATGATGGGAGCAAAGTGCAAAAAACTTCGTACTCTGGATTTGTGGAGATGTAAAAACATTACTGAAAATGGATTAGCAGAATTGGCTTCAGGGTGTCATCTCTTGGAGGAGCTTGATCTTGGCTGGTGCCCTACTCTACAAAGCAGTACTGGCTGTTTCACAAGCCTTGCACGTAAACTGCCAAACTTGCAAAAGCTCTTTCTTACAGCCAACAGGTCTGTGTGTGACACCGACATTGAAGAACTTGCCGCTAACTGTACTCATCTTCGTCAGTTGGATATACTGGGTAAGGAAATGCATGAATTCTTTCATTATTGTTTTTTCAGATGTATATCTTGGTATAAAGAGAGAACTACATATTGCCTAAATAAGACTTGTTGTAATTCTTAAATATTATTTAAAAATATGTCCCAGTTTAATAAAATTAAAAATTATTCATGAGGGCTTTTAAAACTTACAAATTCTTAATGCTTTGTGGTTGAAAAAAATCTTTGTAGTTACGGTTGCTAGTTTTCCTAAGCCTTTTTTTCCTTTTTATGGTGTTTGTATGGCATATGAAAGACTATATTTTAAAAGTGTGTGTATTTTGACCAAATAAGCAGACTTTTCTTGCACAAACACATTAGGCAGAAGAGAATAATATTCTCCACTGTTTTTGTCACTTTTACTAGAAAATAATGTCTGTTTTAAAGTTAAAAAGTCCTTTACAGTGTAGCTTATGTTGTTTTCACCACTGTGACAGAAAGGGGGAAAAAAGCAACTTTATGCAAAGTTTAAATTTGTAGCCTTTTATAACTCTTAGAGATGGCAGTACCTTTTTCAATCTGAAGTAAAATATGCTTTAGATTCTTGGATGAGGAATTTGTGAAGGGAAAGGTATCTCTACAAGACATTACATTAGTCCTGTTAGGTTGCAACACATGGTTTCATTACTTAAAATGTTGGAGGACTGCTCACATTGCCATAAGCCAAGATTTCCTTTAGGGACAGGTTCTTTTACATTTGAGGGCTATTTTAATGGATTTAATTGAAAGAGAAAGATAGTGGTCCAAAAGAAGCAAATAAATTAATTCAATATAAGTTTTGAGAAGATCATGTTTTAAAACTGATTCCGCAAGAGGCTCAGAATCCTTCACTCACATTATCTTCAGTGGGTGGTTAGAACTATCATTTTCTCACAGGATTGGGCTTTACATATGCAATATAATTTAGAACATGGTTTCTAATTATTAACCTCCCTATATTAAATACCACAGAATGTGTGGTTTCATTCTGTGTTGACTTACGCGGCCAACATCCAACTAACATTAGAAAGAAAGGAAAACAGGTGAATGGTCACTTCATCCAGAACAAATTGATCCAAACCTAAACATATGTGCTTTGTGGTGTGTTGTAAGTTAATCTACCTGGCAGTTAAATTAAAGAAGACCTATTTCCTGGTCATACAAACCAAATCTCCAAAAGGCTCACTGAAAAAAGCATTTTATAAACATATACATTCTTTTTGGCCATCAACTCTCATGCTTATCTATTATGATAGCATTGTGTCTGCCCACAAATCGATCTGACCTTTTAATTAGAAGAGAAAGCCTGAGCAATGAATAGTTTGGTAGTTTATCCTATATAATATCTGCAGGCTGTGCTTTCTCTTTGCCAGCCATGAAGGCTTGTTACTACATTCTCTCAATATTTTAATTAACCTGTTGACACTTACATATAAAAGCAAGCTACTGAGCACTTACTGGTATTAACATGTCAGATTGTATTGCATATATTATTAGAAAACCTTTCATAATGAATGACATCAAATGTGGTGTTAAAATATATTATCCTACTGTATTCAATCTACCTATCCTGAAACTGCTGTGTTGTCCATTCATGGAAATTCTTTTGGAGACATCTTGCTAGGAGAGTCTTGGAGCCAAGTTACATAATCTGTTGGAAATGCCACAACACTCCTGAAGTACATTGCTGCATCAGCTCACTGTGTCAAACCAGAGAACAAGCCTTTTCTCTTGTAGGCATTACTGAGTATCTGGTTGTTTCCTCTGTCCACTTCTGCTACTCTCAGCAGCAGCAAGGGGCATAAGTTATATAGCAAGATGGCAACTCAAAAGCTGTGAGTCAACATCCCGAAATATGGTGTTTTCTTCACATCAGCAATCTCTTCTATTTCATTGGTAGTAGAAAGCATGTGTTTATCTTATATGGACTAGCTAATACAAATAGTCACATTGCCAGTGAATTACACAGGTATTTGTGAGACAGCAGTGGAAACTGGGCATTGTGTATGAAAATCTCTTTTTCAGTCCCCCAGAATTGTGGGAAAACTACAGATTTTTCACATTATTATGAGACTGGGTAAGCAGAGACCAAAATGGAATTTCTCACAATGAATTCACAAGAGTTCGCAGCACTTGGTTTTATTCTGATATTGTTAAAGCCTGTAAACTCATCAGGGAAAACTCTTCCTGTTCCAATTACAGCATTTAACTCCATAGTGGCTTCATGGGCAGACAAAAATGAAGCTTCTTTTGAGAAGATTTGCTGGGCTGTAACCAGTTTGATTCATTCCTTTACTAAGCATTATAAAATCAATATCCTATCTAAATTGGATGGTGTTTTCAGTTGCTGGTTCTTGCAGTTTTGTTTCTTACCTGCAGGACTCCATGTATCATGCAATTATGTAACTATGTAAATTGCTACTTAATGTGGATTATATTTAAATAGGTGCATAATATGTGTTCTAGAAAATAAATTCCTATTTAAAAACAGTATTAAGGCTATGATCCTTGACTGTGGCCTATCAATTTACAGCACAATTTGGGAGGAAGTAGTGATTCAAAGATACGTTTTAGCCTTCATTGCGCTTCCTCAGCAAGCTGGGGCTAGTTCCACAGTATAAGTACAAAGGGGCCATTATGGGAAGCAGAAATCACAGGGGTGCCTCAGGCACATCTCTTTTCCCTACCAGCTGCAGGGGACAGGTGGTGTAGGAACCATCACACCAGCTTTACAGCATTGGAGGATCCCCCTGTGTAAGAATGATCCTACTGTGACTGGCTGTGTAAGCATTTGAGCTCCAATGTACTTGTCTCTGTGCAGCTAGATTCTGGGTTGACACCTCTAGGCCTTTTAGGGTACGTTTATACCACATGCTTATTTAGAAATAAGCTATTCTAGAAGACATACTCTAAAATAGCTTATTTCGAAATAGAACGTCTACACTACAGGGAATCCTCAAAATTAGTTCAAGGCAGGCTTCCCTAATGTAGACACGCTACCTCAATTTAGAGCCCCATGAGGCACTGGTGAGTAATTACGTTGAATGGCCTGAGGAGGAGCTATTTCAAAATAACTGCAGTGGAGCTTCAACACTACAGCTATTTCGAAATAGCTATTTTGGAATAGGTGTTATTCCTCATGGAATGAGGTTTACAGAAATTGGAATAAGCCATCGGTTATTTCAAATTTATTTCAAAATATCAGAATTGCTACGTAGACACTCGCATTGTTGTTTTGGAATAATGGACATTATTCTGAAATAATGCTGCTGTGTAAACACACCCTTAGTTATGATGAGAGTCTCCAGAATGTGAGCCCTGTGTTCCACAGTTGTTGTATTCTAGAGTGCACTGCGGACCAGTGAGAAATTGTGTTAGCACCTGCCCCCACAACCTTAAGTGCATTTCCATGCTTTCTTGCCAGGTCCCAACCAGATAGTATGTAGATTACAACCTGAGTGTCATTGTATAGCTACAGGCCTCATTCATTAGCTCTGATCTTAGAAGCCTATCAGAAACACTCCAGTCACATTCTGGCTTCAGTCACTACTTGCTGGGTGACCTCAGTATACTCCCAGTCCCAGATTTTCCCAAAAATCTGCATTGTGTTTTCTGCATTGTCCAGCCCTCTCATAAGGCAATTCAAATATTAAAAGTTTGTTGCTCCTATAAAGAATCAATATTCAACAATTTGCTACTTTAACTGGAGTCACCAAACATTTCAGTTGAAACACAACACTAAATTAGTTTAGATTAAAAATAAGACCAGTTTATTTAACTAGGGAGATAGAGGTTTTATGTGAGCACAAGTATAGGGTCATATATGATTAGAAGAAAAATAAAGATAAACTGTTTTCTAGTAGCTAAAATTTAACAACCTAGACTGGGTTCAAGGTAAAAATCCTTATTGCATGTTCCCAGGAGTGTGGCTAGCCAAATTCTCAGGTCAGATTCTTTTCCCCAAAGTCAAAAGGCTGGTTCCTTTGTCGTCTTAGATGAAAGAGAGCAAGTGAGCTTGGGGTTTTCTGTCCTTTTCTTTTATAGTCCAATTAACTTTGAAGTGGAATCTTCTGAGTGTTATTCCTTAAAGAAAAGTTTTTTTCAAACACTGAAGGAGGTGACATGGAGGCTGGTGGAGAAGGAGTCACCATGTTCTTTTTTCACACCTGTGTTTGCTAAATTGCAAATTTGCTTTGTCTCTTGCCATCTGCTGTCCCTGCTGTCTCAAGGACCCTGTTTATTATATGTAAATTTAGGTAAAGATACATTTCTTTATTCAGGATACTTCTGTTTGGGTAGGTGTGATTTGAACACGTGATGAGAAATCATTCAAAGGGATTTAATAAGCTCACATATAATGGTGTCCCACACATTTCATCATGATATTAGTGACCAGTGGGTTATCAGTTTTCAGATGATGCTTTACAAGGCAATTTTTGTATGAAGATTATTACAGCAGTATGCAGGGTGTAAATACAGGCCTGTATTTGGTTGCAAAAATGCAACGTTGTCTGCCAACAGCCTGAAATGATAACTCCGAGAGATGTGAACTGTTTTCTCTAATCTCATTGTTAACTCTGAAATTGGTCAACAGTTTGAATATCAGCATTGCTAATTGTTTTAACAAAAGCCTCAGACTAGTGTGTTTATTTTTCATTGTTGTATTGTTAGATACTGAGGCGGATGCACTGGGGCAACTCCTTACTACCAAAGGTTCTTGACAAACCCTGCTCCCCAAAATTTATAGCCACCATTGCCCAGCACAAAACAAAGGTGATAAAGAAAAGCTGCTAAAATAATTAATTCCTTCCTAGTTATCAAAAACACCACCCACACCTTATGTGCCAAAAGTGCAAACTGTCCCCTTCCCAACTGTCAAAATCTTCAGCTTTCCTCTGATGGCTTCAATATATAGTTGATCAGTTGAAATACAAAAATCTGTAGCAAATTTAAATTTGAGATCAGTGAAAATAAATTGAATCGAAGGTTCAAATTGGACTGGACTGGAGAGTGAAGTGAGGTCATTTATGGGAGCCGTGCCAGATAATTCTAGGGCGGGGTGGGCAAAGGGACCTCAGTGGGCTGGATCCATCCGCCAAGCTGGTGGATCCAGCCCGCGGCTGCCCTGCTGCCCCCCCCGACACAGGCCAGTCGAGACCTGGGAACGGGGAAGTGCACAAAGTCTCCTCTACTCCCACCCCTCCATCCCCCCCTTGCAAGGGCATGCGGCACAAGAGAGAACACTGGCTGTTTTTAAACAGTTGGCATTTCTCTCTAGCTGCCATGTGTCCCTGGCAGAGCAGGAGCAGGCAGTGAGAGACTTTGCATGCTCCACCACCCCCAGGTCAACCAGGATTTATGGGGAGCATGAGAAGTCTCCTCATCCCACCCCTTCTGCCCGAGACCCCGAACCTTCTGGGGCAGCCTGGGGTTACTTCATAAATTTATGAAGTGGCCCCCTTTTGAAAATTATTGCTCACCCCTGTTCTAGGGTCTCTGACTGAAGTCCAATAGGTTGCATAGAACATAAGTCTCCCCGCCATAGAATTTTTGTCTTCAAGAATTTTCTTAAGTTGCCTCTGACAACTACCATGCATAATTTTCTCTCAACGGTTCCAGGATAGGTGGGTTGAATATATGAACACATATATGGGAATGCTGATTACAGCAAAGGAACAAAATAGTGCCACTGAACAATTATTTCTTTTGGGTATTCTGGTCAGCAGGTGCCTGAGAGTTACACCAGGGAACAAATTGAACAACAAAGTTAAATGACAGATTTTAAGATATCTGTGGTGCATTTGTGCTGAACAATGGCATTTAACTGAAGTAACCAAACTAGTAAATTGAGATGGGCCCAAATTAAAATCCCATATTCAAATTCCCCCTCCTCTCAAAATCTTGGACTGACCTGTGAAGATAAATGTCATTATGTCATTTCTTTGAGGGACAAAGGAAAAAATGTGCTTTATATATCCTTTTAATATATTTACTTTTTGAGAAGCATTCCTAATTATATACAGATAATGCTAAAAACATAGAAGATGTCATATCTCTTATTCCTATCACCTGTTGGTGCTGCTTACTAAAATACTCTTTTTAACCATAAGAAATGTATTTCTCTTGCAGTTCATTCCCTGTAGAAAAAGTTCAGTTATTAAAGACTCTTGATGCGTTAATGTCCATATGCTCTCTGCTCCTAATCCCTGTCCCTCTGAAATCAATACATTCCACCGACTTCAGTTAGCATTAGACTGTCCCTCAATACCGTGCATTTGTTGCAACATTATATTACAGTCAGTGAAAGGGGTACATGATGTAAGGACATGGATTTGGCATGACCTTTTGCTATATACTCATTGTAAGTGGTGGTGTCAGAGCACAGAATCCAGACACCCAGATTGTGATAACAGAGCCATCTAGCTTTTGCAATATAGTGTCAGTACTCAGAAAAAGTTCCCACTGAAATCTTGGGGTTTTTCCTGAACAAGAAGAAAACTGGATTTTTTTTAATTCAGGTTAAAACGTGACATTCCCACTGACCTTCTGTGGTCAAAAATGTGGGAAAACTTTTCTGAAAAGAGCCTTTCTCTTGAAAGGCGAACAAAATAAATGTAGTGATAATGTAGTGAAATAAATTTGAAAGGAGGAGTAAGTTGCACAAGATTTCTAGCTACAGTATATCTTGGCAGCTTTAACAAAGGCTTATTTCACATTCACTTTTTAAAGTTTTGTTTTGTTTTGAAACAGGAACAAGGATGGTAAGCCCTGCATCTTTAAGAAAACTGTTGGAGTCTTGTAAAGATCTTTCTTTACTTGATGTATCCTTCTGTTCTCAAATTGATAATAGAGTTGTCCTAGAACTGAATGCCAGCTTTCCTAATGTGTGCATAAAAAAGAGTTTCACTCAGTGACTCACTGTGTTTGACAGTGTTGTTTCCTGTGAATTTGTGATTACATTCTTCTTCAGAAAAAGAAATTAAAATATTCCATAAAATAGAGGAAAAATGTTAACTATAGTCATGAAATGAGTACATATTATGTATTTGGTGGGGAACTCTTATTATCCTGTACCAAGTAATTGTTTTCCCTTTTATAATTGATGGCATTGCATGTGTTTAAATGGCTGCATATGTGACCTAAATTAAAGAAGAAGAAAAACACTTATTCTTGTTGCCCTTTTAAAGAAAATTATGTATACTAAGATACATTAAAAATCCATGTGAAAGTGAACCTTTAATATTTAGCAATAGAGAAATTATGGGAGTTTCTCTGTCTTTAGTGTTTTAGTTTTGGCCACTGGCATTATGTCCTTGTGATCTATCTTGTAATATGCTGATTGAAAAATTGTTTAAGATAGTGTAAGATCAGACTAGACTAAAAAGCCACTTTTCCCCCTCCTTTTGTAGACAGTGATTGGTATCTATTTTAAAACTCTGATGTGTCTGCTGAGAAGTTTTTTTCCTCCTCTTTCAAACGGATGAAATGTGGCACAGGCTTACAGTCTGGCTTAAATGACATAACATAAATACAAAACCCCACCATATGAGTTTATAGTAGAAACTAAAAAGAATGAAAATTACCTTGCTTCTTCCTGTACTGAATATAAATTTTGTGTCATGTACTTATTGTCACAACTGATAATGCATAGAAAACCCAAAAGTAATTTTCTTTTCAAATTTATATTATTTCAAGCTATGTTGACTTGTGGAACATCTGCCTTTCATATGAAGTACAATGATGATGTTACTCACAATAATGTATTAGAATCCCTTCCTTAGTTGGGTGCATACCTACTATCAAATTTAAAAACAAATATTTGATGTTCGGTAAAATCATGATGATCATGCTGGGTTTGTAAACCAAAGGCAATGTGATTTGGCTGTGTGCTAACTTATTCTGAGATGTTTTTGCACCAAAAGAGGTAATTATCTTTGGTAATCTATACTCTCTTAACTGTTGTTAATTTTTTGGAGGAGAGAGATGATGATGTCAATCAATGAATGTTTTTTTCCCTACTTTTTGCACTTATCTGAATGAAACATCCTTTCCTCCGTATTGTGGATTGGTATTTACAGCATGTACTCATAATTATGTAACCTTGCCTCTTTAGACACTAATAGTGAATACAGACCACCAGACACAATCTCTCATTTGGGATCAGCTCCATTATTGTCACCTTTCTAGCAGATGCTGACCAATGTTTCATCTTGGGAAAGTAAGCATAACACTTTGCATGGCTGAACACCATTGCTATAAAGAAGATCATCAGCAAAGAAATTCAATTTGATGAAGTAAATAGCTGTCCACTGAAAGAGAAGTGCCTTGGAGCAGCAATGAACTAGTGACCTCCATGGACCTAAATTAGTATTTCTGAACTCTTTATACCAATGCCAATGCTTTATAAATCATTTAGTAAAACAAGCCAAATTTCTCTGATTTTATAAACCACCATTCTGATTTAAAATGTACAGAATATTGTAGGAAATCTCAATCCAAATATGTGTCATTCACATACAGATGTTACCATGTGATTTACAGCTAGGAGCCATTCCATTGTCTTTCAGAATACTGTGCTACTTAGACATGTTTCAATCTAGACATATCTGTTTACCTGACAGATGTGTGCCCTAGAGTTATTCTGTGCAAGATATCATGTTATTTTGGCAGTGGTCATTTCTTTAAATAAATTTTAAACTTATTTTAATATAAAGTATTTACAATGTATTTTATAATGTCTAATGTATAATGCAAACTTATTTTAATATAATGTATTCACAAGTGTATTCATTGTAAATGAGAATTAAACATTTATGTCCCAGTTACAGGAGAACTTAAGTTTACATTATGGGTGTTTACAGATATTGATGTTTTAAAATAAGTATTGTTTTTGTTGTAAAATTTCACTCCTCAGGGTGCATATAAATTTTTACTTTTTTTTAATTTTTTTTTAAGTAATGGTTCTTGGCTTACGTTTATAATTGTAAATAGAATTGGATTTATTTACTATAGAAGTAGTGGTATATTTTATGCCTGCCAAAGTATTAAAGTGGGCAAATAGTATAATCTTACTTATGCACGTAAGAATAATGTAAAGGTGGAAGGTGATAGGTTTTTTGTTTTCGGTGGTTTTTTTGTGGGGTTTTTTTGTTGTTGTTGTTTTTGCTTTATTATGAAGTATAACAAAGGTCTGATTTGATTTTTGTTTTGTTTCTATTCTGTTTAAATGATATATTTCTATTTGACTCTTACATTCAAATCACAGTTTTTGTCTGGAACACTCTGTAGTGACTGAAGATCTCTTTGAATTATGTTATCATATTTTCTGGTTGAAGTGTAACCTAATTAATTACAGGGAAATGTTTTTGTTCAGACTGTTTGAAATTTGAGTTTCTTAACATGTATTTAACTTAAAAAATTGTGAAATACCTGTGATAAAAGGACATCTTTGTTTACAATTTGATACCCTGGCCCTTTACTTAATGGCTGAAGCACTTTTTTTTTTATTATCTCCAAGAAGTCTTCCAGCAAAAAGAGAGCAGACCAGGCTTGACATTCCTGGTATTTCTAAGGTAAAAGGTGGGTGGAAAAAAACCCACTTTCAGGCCTTCCTTAGACATCATAAAGAAAAAATAGGCTACAATTTCAATTTTAATTTATGTTACTTCTTAGAATTTTATTATCAATCATCTTATTCAAAGATATTCAGCAGATTTTTATTTTAGAATATTTCTGAAATACTGAAATTGGGTATATAGCCTGCTAAAGCCTTTCAACCAGCTAACTGCTGACAGCAATCTAAGAATTACTATTATAGTGTCACACTTGAGTCATAATAGTTAACAGTCAGCATTTCCATTGTAAACCATTATTTCTTGTACACTTGGGGACTGGAATACAGCTGGAATTCCTCTCTATCCACAAATCTGGATCAACCTGGTCAACAGTTGTGCAGACCTTTCCATATTATTCGCCAGTGTGCTTCAGTGTGTGTCTACATGAAATAGTTATTTCAAAACATTCCAGAAGATATTTCCAACCTTTCAGCTAAGTTAAAGACCCATGCAACCAAGTGGACATGCAGACGTTTGTAAAATGTAGGGATGTTAAGAAGCATGTCAATTGTGTAGTCAACAAAATTTTAGTTGACTATACGATTAATCGATAAGGGTTAGCTCAGCTATCACTCAGTCCTGGCTTCCGGAGCAGCTCTGCACTACAAGCACTTGTACTGCAAAGCCACAGCGGGGGTTATTGTCAGATCCTGGTGTGAGCTGGGACTGAGCGAGCCTGCTCATTCGCCAGCTTTTAGTGCTTGTACTGCAGAGTTGCAGTGGGAATAGTTGCTGGGACTGGTATGAGCCAGGACTGAGCCAGCCTGTCAGCCAGCCTGCTAAAAGATTGGGTGGAGGGTTGTGTGTAGTTAATAGCGTTAACTGATAAGCACTTGCTTATCAGTTAATCGCTTAGACAACTACACTATTACATCCCTAATAAAATGCTCAAACTAAACAAAGTTGGAAAACATAGAAAAGACTATATTTGTCTTCTGATCTATCAGTTTGACACACATGATTTCAGTAACAATCAGCTACTCATCTGAAACTTTTCAATAGCAGAGATGTGATTGTAAGTTAACTCTGTCCCTCCCCTATATTAATTGTAGTAAAGTTGCAAAAGCACAACTGGGTTTTAGTACAGAAATAACTGTGTGTAGACTTTTTAAAGAGTTTCCATTCTGATCACTTCTGCCGAGCTTATAAATTTCCTAAAGTGGCATTTGCTACTAATGCATAAGATTTGTCATTTTGATACGTGTATTCATTGCTACTCTTTTTGAAATATTAAGAGACCTTTGCTTTCAGTTATACTCCAGTTTCATATTATCATGTAAAAAGAAGTATTTGCATGCTCGTGAAATATATTAAACTTTTTCATAATTATGGCAGTTGATTTTGGGACCTCAGTAATTTTACCATTGAGTAAAATATGTTGAAACCATCTGTGTATTTGTGTACTTGTGTTCGTTGTCATGAGAGCATGTGCATTATCTTAACTCTGCCATATTTTTTTCAATATTAAGAGAAATATGACAGCCATTTGACCCTTTCAACTCTGATATAAAATATAATTAAGCTTTTAATTTATATTTAAATAAGAAGTCTCATTGATTATGTCACTGAGTATAAAGGAAAGCATGTTGTTTTGCCTATCTTTGTTTATGTCTAAATTTCTACCTATTCACCAGAAAAATTGATATTTTTCTTTATAGAGTATAGAAGGAGAAAACAGCTACATAAAATTTTGCCGTGTGTTTTTTTTAATGAGAATACTAAGGACTTAATGATTTCAGTAATTACTCCTAAATCTAGCCAAAGTTGCTAGCTGTATGATCTTATTAAATTGTAGTAATTGTGCTACTATAGGGTCAGATCACAGAGAATGACCATGGAAGACCAAACAGGAAAAAATGTTTTGGTTCCACTTTGTGGGGAACGAGGAGGTCTTACCCTATTGCTCTAGTGCCAGGGTGGAGAAGATATGTCCAGAAAAGATATGGCCACTATCTGAATGTACTGGTCAAACATCTTTCATCCAGTGGAGGATCAAAACAGAAGCTGTGTTTGCTGCTGCTATTCTGAAGCTGCAGTAGTAAATGTTGAGTGGGTCTGCTAGCACTTCGCAGCATGTGGGAGAAGAATTTCATCCCTATCACCACCACACAAAATCTCTTCACAAAGCTCATTTCTGTAAGAAGGAACCTGCTAGTCTGGAATGAACAATTTCTCATTTCATTGAATACAGCTAATGGTGTGCTTTTTGGTAGTATGCACTCTGATCCTTTGCACCAGTCTGCCTCTGCCTAATGGGTGGGAGAGATCTATGGTATTAGATTGATCATCACAGTAACACCTTTTGAGAGAGACAATGACACAGGACTGTGGATCTGGCATGATGGCTTTCATGGCTAGCTTTTTTTGCTCTGTCTGTTGTCTGAACTCATCTCCTCTCCAAAAGAAGCACCTTTCTTCTGTTGTGATCACCATTTCTAAGCAGGCTATCTGATGACTGTAAGGTCCATAGGTTCAAAGTAGGAAAGGAGATGGACTCTGTGGGGCTGAGAACTCATTTTTCATAATAAGTAAACTCATCTAACAGCCTGCTGACATCTGTTTTCCAAGAAGCCTTCTGAGACAAGTTCCTCTTCTCCCTTCACCAATCTGCTCCTTCCCTGGGACCCAGGAAAGTGGTTAAAACCCTCTCTATATTGTAGGGCTACATCTACAATACACGATCCCTAAACAAGAAGCCTTTTGCGCAAGCGTTTTTGCACAAAAACTTCTTGCACAAGCACACATCCACACATCCACACATCAAAGCACATGGCCAGAGAGTGTCCACTCTGCATCGACGCTCTCGTGCAAGAAAACTCTGATTGCTGTTCACAGAATGGCCATCAGAGCACGTGTGCTTTTTTCCATAGGGATCTCTTGCGCATGAAACCCCTCTGAAGCGTCCACACTTGCCTTCTTGTGCAACAATTGTAGCACGAAAAGCAATTATGCCTCAGAAAAGGAGGTTTACCTATGGCAGAAAAGACCCTCTTTTCTGCCATTTAACTGCCCATTTAATTGCATAAGAACTCCTTTAAGGTGTGGATGCTCTGCAGGTTTTTGTGCAAAAACAGCTGTTTTTGCGCAATACCCTTGTAGTGTAGACGTAGCCTAGGGGTACGTCCTCACATCAGTGTTATTTCGGAATAACTGATGTTATTCTGAAATACCATAGTCTGCGTCTACACTATAAGCAGTTATTCAGCAATGTCAAAATAATGTCAAGCTGGAGGACTTCTTACTCTGACTCCTATCCCTCATTTTACAAGGAGTAAGGGAAGTCAAAGGAAGAGTGCTCTTTCTCGAACTTCCTGCTGTGTAAACAACACCAGAAGCCAAAATAAGCTATTTCAGCTTAAGCTATGCAATTGACGTAGCTCAAGTTGCATAGCTTATTTTGGCTTTAACCCTGCTGTGTAGACAGACATTCTCTAAGAGACTTCTGGTATCTGTTCCTTTTGTACAAGCAAAGGTCCAGAAAACCACACCATTCTCTCTACTTATTGTGGCTCAAGCAGGATGTTTTCTCTTCCACCGAGCATCAAAAAAGTTTCACCATAAAAACATGTAATGTGAACATTAGATCTGCAATCTAAAGCAATGGATGCAATGCTGAAAAAAGATACAAATGGCAATGTAATCTGCTCTGAGAAACCTACAATCTAGTGACAGCCTCCAAAAATCAGACTTCCTTATCAAACAGACTCCCTAGTTTAGGGATTGTTTTTGGTTTGCCGGTGTTATTTTGGTGAGAAGCTGCACTTTTTATTGATATAGATTAGCACAAATAGATATTTTCTGATAGTATTATGCACAAAACAATTTGCTAACAATTTACATGTTTCCAGTATACTACTCTGTAATGTGCTAACAATTACCATAATTATGTTAAGTAGTAGGGTCATAGTGTCTCTATATAATATGAAACGTAGGGCCAGGATTTAATGTAGAAATCCTTAACTTTGTATACTATTTTTGAAAGCCAAGTAATGCTTCATTAAGTATTTTGAAGATTTGTATTTTGAGACAAGTTTGGATTTTGAAAATTCTGTTTCCCTGTGCTTTTTTTATCAGAGGCATTTGTATAAAATAGGAGAACCATTGCTCTGGGTCAACTTTTCTTGTTATGTAATCTCACCTGTAATCACAATAATTTTGTTGTATTTGAAACATTGGTTATGCTTATTATCATGGTATCAGACTGTGAATTTGAACATGAGGTGTACGGGCTGCCATTCTTTGCTCTAGTAGAGTCTTTTGGCGGTGGGGGAGATGCTATGAGTACAGCAGTGGGCCAAAGAAAGGTCAGGGCTAATTAGAAGGGATATGTGAAGTACAGGCAGTCCCCGACTTAAGCGGATCCGACTTATGTCGGATCCGCACTTACGAACGGGGCTTTCTCGCCCCAGAGGTCGAGGTAGCGGATTGCTACCTGCGAGCTCCGGGGCGAGAAAGCCCCGTTCGTAAGCTGCTCCGGTGCCCCTGGTCTGCTGGAGACCGTCTCCAGCAGACCAGGGGCACCGGAGCAGCTTACGAACGGGGCTTTCTCGCCCCAGAGGTCGAGGTAGCGGATTGCTACCTGCGAGCTCCGGGGCGAGAAAGCCCCGTTCGTAAGCTGCTCCGGTGCCCCTGGTCTGCTGGAGACCGTCTCCAGCAGACCAGGGGCACCGGAGCAGCTTACGAACGGGGCTTTCTCGCCCCAGAGGTCGAGGTAGCGGATTGCTACCTGCGAGCTCCGGGGCGAGAAAGCCCCGTTCGTAAGCTGCTCCGGTGCCCCTGGTCTGCTGGAGACCGTCTCCAGCAGACCAGGGGCACCGGAGCAGCTTACGAACGGGGCTTTCTCGCCCCAGAGGTCGAGGTAGCGGATTGCTACCTGCGAGCTCCGGGGCGAGAAAGCCCCGTTCGTAAGCTGCTCCGGTGCCCCTGGTCTGCTGGAGACCGTCTCCAGCAGACCAGGGGCACCGGAGCAGCTTACGAACGGGGCTTTCTCGCCCCAGAGGTCGAGGTAGCGGATTGCTACCTGCGAGCTCCGGGGCGAGAAAGCCCCGTTCGTAAGCTGCTCCGGTGCCCCTGGTCTGCTGGAGACCGTCTCCAGCAGACCAGGGGCACCGGAGCAGCTTACGAACGGGGCTTTCTCGCCCCAGAGGTCGAGGTAGCGGATTGCTACCTGCGAGCTCCGGGGCGAGAAAGCCCCGTTCGTAAGTGCGGATCCGACATAAGTCGGATCCGCTTAAGTCGGGGACTGCCTGTACCTACCTGTCCCATTTCCTCTTCCTCCTTTAGATGCAATGCTCCTATTGTCTGTGAACCATTCTGCCTCTTTCAACTTAGTAAAACAGATTTTTGCACTGTAAGCCTTATTTTGAAGTAACTTGAGATAAATTCAAAAAATAGCTTTATGATTGTCACTGCCAATTATTACCAAACATTCACTGTCTAGTTGCCTCATGTAAAATAGTAGGCAGTCTCAGCCTATGTGCTATAGATCAGGTGCCTGTGTCCCAAAACTACTGTTATATATGGTATTAGGATGAGATCCACAAAGAATTTAAGCATCTAATTCCCATGGATTTCAATGGGAGTTAGAAGCCTGAATACCTGTGAGGATCTGAGCCTTTGTGCTTCCTTTCATTCACTTCCTAGATAGAAAGATCAAGGAGTAAATGAACATGAAGACTCAACTAACTCTTAATGGTCCATCCAGAATGCAGCTAAGGCACAGCCAGTTGCCCGGGGACTGTGGGGCAGCTTGCTGCCCATGTTTTTCCTTCTTTGTGGATAACAAATTGCATCTTCAGGTTTTTCAAACTCAACTTCTGGACTGCTCAATAATGAACTTTGAAAAGGAATGTTTACAATAATATGTGATTTAATTTGATCTGTTTTAGCTGCATTAATATTTAAATTATGTTACAACATACTGCTACTGTGCTGCTGTTTTAAGTGGAGTAATTTATACAGAAAGGGAAGAACATTAACAGAGAATAGTCCTTAGAAGGCTGCAAGCTGTGCTATAAAAGCTCTTTTATACACAGTCATGCCAGTAAGCAGGCAAGCAGCAAAGGCAAATGAAACACTTTAGTAATAAGCAACAAAAAGAGACATTGGTAAGATAGATAGAGATAATTGCTTCTAAACATTATATTTTAGTCTCAGAGGGGTAGCCGTGTTAGTAACTTTAAAAACAATGAGTAGCACCTTAGAGACTAACAAATATATATAGTATCATGAGATTTCTTGAGTAAAACCCACTTCTTCTAAAGATGAGAAGATCTTAAAGTGGAGAAAAAAGGGTGGACCCTCAGGATAAGGGAGGGGTAGTCCTGGTGCTAATGAGGCTAACTGAGTGGGTTAGCTGAGGCTGAGTGAGTTGGAAGTGTCCCATACTTAACTTTTCATGTCAATAGAGTGTTAAATATAATGGAATATGGTTTTATAAGATGTTAATCACTTCAGGTCTTTGTTCAGGCCAAGGGAGATGGTGTCAGATTTGCATAAGAAGGTCAATTCTGCACTGTGTCTCTGTAGTTCGCTCATGAAATTCCTTTGTAGAAAAATAGCTACTTTTAAGTCCATTAATAAGGGCCAGGTATGCTAAAATGTTCCCCTAAAATTTTATCTGTGTTACCATTCCTCACATTTGTTTTGTATCCATTAATCCTTTGCCAATATACATGGCATAGGGGTATTGTTGGTACTTGATGGCATATATTACATTAGAGCAGGGGTGGGCAATAATTTTTGCCCGAGGCCACTTCAAAAATTTTTGAAGTAGCCTCAGGCCACCCCAGAAGGGACGGGACCTAAACAGGAAGCGTTGTGTGCTGCTCGCAGGATGGGGCCAGAGTGGAATAGACTTCAGGTGCTCCCCTGCTCCCAGACCTTAATTTGCCTGGGGTCAAGAGAATAGCAGGGCCCGATCCACCCACTTAGCGGGCTGGATCCAGCCCACGGAGGCCCTTTTGCCCACCCCTGCATTAGAGGATGTGCAGTTATATGAGCCTTTGATGTTGTGGTTTGTGTGGTCAGGTGCTGTGATGATGTTGCTTGTGTACCTGTGTGGACAGAGTTGGCAATGGGGTTTATTGCAGGGGTAGGTTCCTGGGTGAGTGTGTCTGAGGTGTGATGTGTGGCTGTTGGGAAGTATTTGCTTCAGATTGGTGGGTTACATGTAGGCAAGGATTGGCCTGTTCCTCAAGGCCTATGCGAGTGAGGGATCATTTTCTAGAACAGGTTGTAGATTGTCCGTGATGTGCTGGAGGAGTTTGAGCTGGGGCTGTAGATGATGACTAGTAGTGTTCAGTTTTTTTTGTTTTTTTTTGTTGGGCCTGTGTTGAAGAAGTAGATTCCTGGATACTCATCTAGCTCTATCAATCTGTTTCTTCACTTCCCCAGGTGTATATTTCAGTTTTAAGCATGCCTGATAAAGATCTTGTAGGTGTTTGCCTCTGCCTTTGGATTTGGAGAAAGTCTGGTTGTATCTTAGAGCCTGGCACTAAACAATGGATCACGCAGTATGTCCTGGATGGAAGCCAGAGGCATGAAGGTAAGACTAACGGGTCAGTAGCTTTTCAGTATAGGGTGGTAGTAATGTGGCCATCATTTAATTATACTGTAGTGTCAAGGAAGTGGATCTCTTCTGTGGACTGGTCCAGGCTAATGTTGATGGTAGAGTGGAAGTTATTTAAATCCTTGTGGAATTCTCCAAAGGTCTCCTTCCCATGGGTCCATATGAGGAAGATGTTGTCAATGTAGCGTAAATAGAGGAAAGGTGGTAGGGGACAAGAGCTGAGGAAAGTTTGTTTGAGGCCAGCAATGAAAACATTGGCATATTTTGGAGCCATGTAGGTGCCACCAGATGTGCTGTGGCATCATCGGGATAGTGTTCCTGACAGCTAGTAAGCCATCATTGTGTGGAATGTTGGTGTAAAGAACTTCTACATCCATGGTGGTCAGAGTGGTGTTTTCAGGAAGATTACTAATGTTCTGTAGTTTTGTCAGATCAGGAAGATTACTGATGTTCTGTAGTTTTGTCAGAAAGTCAGTGGTGTCTTGAAGATAGCTAGCAGTGTTGGTAGCGTAGGTGCTGAGGAGAGAGTCAGTGTAACTGGATAATCCTGCTGTGTGCTGATGCCAGAGATCAGGCCCTATTGGGGAGAGAGGAGCCAGTAAGTCCATTTGGCCCAGGCCTCAGGAGACAAAGGTGCATCAAATTTTGACATTTTTCTACCAAGTCATTTCCATTTATTATATACCTTGCAGTTATAACAGAGACAACAAAAGAAGCTATATACCTGCAAACCAATTATTTAAATCATTGTGGGACCTTGGGCCTTTGCCAATTTTTCAGTCACATCCTAGTTTTCATGTGCATGACTGAAGTAGCTTCTGTGATTAGTGATTCTATATTATAAAATGCTATTTACAGTCTTTGCAGTTTAGAGGTTTTGAAAGTCATAATTAATTCAGTTATGGTAAAGTGGGTTTTCTTGGTCTGAGGGTGTTTTTAAACTTTAAATTAGATGTTTATCTCTGCACAGGAGATTTTCGTATTCCTGTTTTTTCTTGCATCTTTGTATACAATCACCATATCAGGCTCAGCTGTAAACTGCCTTATCATCCAGTCTTAGATTCACCTTTAAAGGTTTTTTTGTGATAATAAATTTTTAATTTTAGTTGTTTAATAAACTTTATATCTAATCTGGCAGTCACCCCATGTTCATATTCATAATAACGCACCAGTTATTAGAGGAATTTAATAATAACAGAAACATGTTAGATGAAATTTCAAGACTTTGAAATAAGGCTATAAAGGCCATAGAAAATAATACCCCAAACTGTTGTTATATACTAATCATTGCAAAGTATATACAATTAAAATTTTATATAACCTATAACTTTTAGCAAATTAATTTATTGTGTTACTGTGTCTTAATAGAACCCCTTTATAAAAGCAAAGTGAAGATTTGAAAGTGGTGCAAGTAAGAGAAGGTGAAAGTAAAGCAGCAGCAAAGAGTTTATAATATACCAGTAATATAATTTCTCATAGAAAAGGCTCCTGAGCCATTAGACGGTGACCAAACTGACAGTGACACTTCCAGTTCTGATGATGAAAACTTTGTACCCACAAATGACATTTCAGTGCCACTGCCTCAAAATGAGGTTGTGGTCATTAATCAAGACACAGAAATGCCAACAGGAGCATAGATTCTGCATCTAGCTCTAGAGTTAGAGACTGTGCAGGCAGAAAATGAAGACCTCAGAGATACTGCACAGAAAGAGTAAGAACTTATGACTAGCATGAAACACAGTGTAACAGCAGTGGCATCAGAACCTCATATTGGATTTCTTGATAATAACAATGTTGCTCAAATGCAGTCGTTTTTCAAAGTTAGTTGTTTTCAGATTCCAAGCAATATACCGAAAGATGCTGAAAATCATGCTTTCCCCACTCATCTGCTGCCAAAAACTGTTCCAAACAGAGAGATCTACACAAGAGACTGGTTCTGCTGGAGTATGGAAAAAGCAGGCTCTGTACCATGTACCCTGTTTCATTTTTAACGGTGATACTTCAAATGCTTCAGGACTGTCTGATCCATCTGATTGGAGCATCAGTAGAGGTTGGAGGAAGTTGAAAGACCCAATACCTGCACATGAAACTTCAGTATCACATAAAGATAACTATGTTACATGGAAATCAGCTAGTAGAGCAGCACTAGCTGACAGTTTAATTGAAAACTTACCCCTGAGTGAAATAAACACTGAAACTGGTAACTGGAAAAAACTCCTTGAGTGCACATTGAATATCATTCTTTTTCTTTCTGAATGGGGATTGGCTTTATTTGGTTCCAGTCAATGTATTGGTGACCCTTCAAACAGAAACTTTTTTGGTATACTTACTATACTTGGTATGACCCACTTTTATCAGGCCATTTTGAGCATGTTAATGAATCACAAGAGAATGGAGAATGCATGCAAGTCCATTATCTGTCTATCAGTACAAAACAAATTTATTGAACTGTGTGGGACATTTGTGCAAATTCTTGAAGAGATGTGATATGCTAAGTACTTTTCAATTATTATTGATGCAGCTCCAGACAGTTTTCAGAAAGAACAGATGACCTTGATTGTTGGATATGTTAAAATTGCAGGAAGTTCAAAGGTTCCAATTAAAGAATGACTCATTTTGTTCGATAATTTCATGAAAAAAAACTGGAAAAGAAATCGCTACTCGTGTATTAGAAATTCTGGAAGGCTTTAAATTAAATTTTCAAGTCTGCATTGGCCAAGCCTATGACAGTGGATCCAGTGTGGCTGGGAAGTACAACAGAGTACACACAGTCCTTCTGGAGCAAAATTCAAACTGTATTTCATCCATTTATGGCAACCACAAACTAGATCTTGTTGGCATTTATTGCAGTGAATCATGCAAGGAAGCAATCACATATTTTTGAACAGCCCAGCAATTGTACAACTTCTTCAGTCGCAGTCCTTGGAAGTGGGAAATTCTGAAGCAGCATCTCCCTTTTCCCCTTCATGGCATGTTGACAATGAGATGGTCACCATGAATTTATGGTGTTAAACCAGTTGCACAGCATTTGGACTCTGTGAGAAAGACTTTAAGTGAGTTTGAATCTCTTATTCTCACAGCACAGACTTGCACTAAGCTTAAGTCAATTAAGAAATATACATCCAAATTTGAACACATTTTAATGTTGTCCATGTGGACGAAGCTGCTAAAAACTTTCCACGAAAATAATCTTGAAATTGACGCATACAATGCTACATTAGATGTTGAGAGGGATAACGCTGAATGACTTCCTAAAGATATTCGCTACATTAGATGTTGAGAGGGATAACGCAATCATGCAAGGAAGCAATCACATATTTTTGAACAACCCAGCAATTGTACAACTTCTTCAGTCGCAGTCCTTGGAAGTGGGAAATTCTGAAGCAGCATCTCCCTTTTCCCCTTCATGGCATGTTGACAATGAGATGGTCACCATGAATTTATGGTGTTAAACCAGTTGCACAGCATTTGGACTCTGTGAGAAAGGCTTTAAGTGAGTTTGAATCTCTTATTCTCACAGCACAGACTTGCACTAAGCTTAAGTCAATTCAGAAATATACATCCAAATTTGAACACATTTTAATGTTGTCCATGTGGACGAAGCTGCTAAAAACTTTCCACGAAAATAATCTTGAAATTGACGCATACAATGCTACATTAGATGTTGAGAGGGATAACGCTGAATGACTTCCTAAAGATATTCAAAAGATTTTTGATAAATAGGATACAATCCTTTGAGTCCAAATCAGTAGCACGGGGTATTGACATTTCATCTGAGTTTTCCACCAATCACAGCCTAATATCTTAATCTGATGCACTATTGAGTCAATTTTTTTGTTATTATTGACTTCATCAAATCTGATCTTATTCATCAATTTGAGTCACTGTGACAATTTTGTTCCCTTTTTGGATTCCTTTGGGAGTTTAATGGCTGAATAGTTTCAAGCAAAGGTACAACAAAATTTCAAGAGATCTCTGTGACAAGATTGTCTTCCTGAAACGTATATACTCCACCAACTTTTAAATCGGACTGCAAGCAAAAAGAATTGCTTCAAGAAATATTCTATCTTGGCCTATCAAAACTGTGTTTCCTAATATAATTGCATTACGTATTTTTGTCAGTCTCCCTGCATCAGTGGCTTCAAGTGAATGCACATTCAATGTGTTAAAACAAGTAAAGAACTATCATCGTTCTACAAAAGGTTAAGAGCATTTGAATGGTCTTGGAATGCTTAACATTAGCATTGATTTTTGCATGTAAATCGGATTTTTCTTCAATTATAAATGAGTTTGCACACAATAAAGCCAGAAAAGCATTCCTAAAATGAAGAGTTTTGCTTTCAGTGGAAATTCACAATTAAAGTGACATTTTTAATATACATGCTATTAGTGTAATAACTTAATTGTTAATAAATAAAGGTCTCAAGTGTTCATTTTCATATATTCTTTTGGTTTTTGTATGACCCTTGGGGACTAGAGGTTAGATACGTATGGCCATTCTGTCATTCTCTGAAAGGGCCTGCCTGAGATGATGGGATGGGGATTTCTAGGTTTATGGATTTGGGTATCAAATAGAATACTCCTGATCAGAGATTGGGGGGGAGGGTGTTTGTATAGGTTTGGTCTCAAGTTCTAGAAGGAAGTTTCATGAGCAGATGGTGTAATTTCTTTTGGTATTCCTCTGTGGGATCAGAAGGAAGAGGCCTGTAGAATGTGGTGTTGGTGAGTTGTCTGGCCGCCTCTTGTTCATAATCTGTCCCGTTCATGACAAATACAGCACTCTCTTTGTCAGCCTCTTTGATGATAATGTTAGAGGTGTTTTTGCAGCTGTAGATAGAGTTGCGTCCTGCTTGGTTGAGATTATATGTCACGTGATGTTATTGGTATATTGTAGTATTTTCCTTGCAACCTGTAAAGCACAAGCTGGTAGATTGCATGTGATTTTTCCACTTTTAAGATTCAGAAGTTTAAGAATGTTTTAAAAATATTTTAGATCTTGTATAACTTTTTTCAAAATACCTTACTTCTTCCTCTAACCCATGCTCAGAAAAAGGACTTGCAGACTGGTACTTTTTATTAGTTTCACTCCAAAGTGGTCATTTATAGCCAATTTATTTTTTTTAAAACTATAATATTGGGAATATATGAGGGATGTTCCATGCTAATTGCAGTTAGTTTTAATGGGAGTTACCTACCAAAAAGCCCTCAAATGTCCCTACATAAAATAAACTCTTGAAAGTTTACATGGAAAAAAACTGACAGAAATTTAAGACTGACTGTTTAAAAAGCAGAGCAACATTTCAGGGATGCATTTTAAGGTCTCTATCCTGCTCTTAGTAACATCAGCATATGAGGCCACTGTCCACTCTACCTTGTAACAAAGGTGCTTGTGTAAGTGCAGTCATTAATCCAAGGTACATAGACATGTATTTCTGTATATTTCTAAGAACAGTTTTATACTCTAAAATTATTCTCCATGCCACTAATTCAACAGTATTTACTTTCCTTCTGAGGACAAATTTGATCTACCTGGGCTAATTATTAGAAGGTTGACTAGCCCATCAACTAGGGCATCTACATTCACCCTGAAGACCCATTCACCCTGAGGACTCATTTTTTCATATTGGGGTTTTTCAGTATGTGTGTATACTGACCTATATTTTTAAAATGTCCTTCTTTCCTGACCCTTGATGTTGTGTTCTTTTTCACTAATGATAAGTTGGAGACACTATATTCAATTTGTTATTTTATTTGGCTTTGAGTATTGCATCCTTTCTGTATAGTCTCTCTGTTCTTATATGTAGTCTGCCAAGAGCTGTCTTGTGCTCCTATTGTTGAATTTGTAATATTAATACACAATTCAGGCCCTGTATTCTGGCCTTTGTTCATGTGAGTAATCCTTGCTCAAACCATTGATATGGGCACTACTTATGCAATTAAAGATTACTTTTGAAGTAATGTGAGAGTCATCAGCCTTATATTTTGAAATGGCTTAATTTCATCTGGGGAAACCTTCTAATGCCTTATATTATTAGCTTGAAACTGGTTTGTTTTTGTTCTCAAGGCAGCTGAATTACATATTTATGCACTGAATTCTTTTGTTTAGTAAATTAAGCCAATTTGATTCTGATATCATTTTGGATCGGTTAATGTCTTAATACTATCAGATGTTGTACAATTGTATTTTATTAGTTTCATCTTTTTTTATATTGTTATCACTTTGATTTGCCAGTATCTGTTAGTATACAGAACTGTGTTAAAAAGCCATGTATTTTACCTATGTTACCTGTGATTATTTTGACTATGTATTGAAAAATACCAAATGTGCATAAAATAACAAATAAACACAAACATAAGAAAGTAATTTGCCTAAACTAATTATCTTTAGAACATTGGATTAAAATGACAGAGAAATAAAAACACTGATTATGATCTAATTCTGAAGAATAGTTTGAATGTATTCTTACCACTTTGCATTTAAAAAAACTTCAGTTATGCCAGATGTTTTAGATCCAGGATTGCCTGAGAGCTGAATTGCCCTGTCACTGAGGAAAAAAATATAAAATGAAACGTGAAGATTACAATTCTAATCATTTTGAGGCTTCCTTACAAGAAAAAATAATTACTAAAGTTCTCATAAGGACAAAATGTAATAGCTGTTGCAGCTTTCACATGCCTGTGATAGCATCATTTGTGTTAATGTGTTCTGAAGTCCCTTTAATTTAATTATGTACAGAATATATATTTTTGGAAAAGTATTGTGGAAGTTGAAATAGCTGTGATTTTTTTTAACTCTGATCTCCTGTGTTATACAGTGTGTTATACAGGAGGTCACAGTAGATTATCATAATGGATCCTTCTGGCTTTGTAATCCAAGTTCAAGGATACAATGCTAACTGTAACAGTAGTCAATGACAAATAGTGTTCATGACGTTGCATACAGTTTTCCTCTGATCTACAGTAACTGTTGACATGATGCTGACCAGCACTGATTTAACTCACAATCATGTTGAAACACAATAAAATGTAATGTAGATTAGCCATGAACTCAGTGGGAATTGAGGGGTACCCTCTGCCTCACTAAGGAAGTGCTTAGCACCCTTCAGGCTCACCATAATTCTTAAAATTAAGGCATTGTCTATATGGGCTTTGTTGCCAAGTTAGTTACCCTTTCCTGTCTTCGCCACATGTGAGAGCAATGGCAAGTATGCTAATGCAGATAAGATGCTGGTGATCACTTCTGTCTTAATTTTAGTTTTGTGCTTACTGAGGGCAGCTTTAGATGACATAGTGCTTAAAATGCTGTCTACTGCCTGGAGCCCAGTTTACACTTGCATTTCCACTGGAGGTTTTGCCTATCTCCTAGAGCTGGAAGGGACCTTGAAAGGTCATTGAGTCCACTCCTGTCCCCTGCCTTCACAGCAGGACCATCCCTGACAAATTTTTGCCCCAAATCCCTAAATGGCCTCTGCAAGGATTGAACTCATAACCCTGGGGGGTTTAGCAGGCCAATGCTCAAACCACTGAGCTATTCCTCCCTCCCAGGTGAATCACTGGTAGAAATAATGTGAAAGTCTTTGGAGGAGAGAGCCCAGTTTAGCTATAGTAAGCAAGAGCTAATCACATTTTTGATCAAAAGAAATTTCATTGAAATAAACTGTTTCATCAAAGCTGAAAGGTTTTGCAAAGACAAATCAGTTTTACATCAAAGGAGAAACTGTTTAGGACACTGACCTGCAATATAGGAGATGAAGGTTTGAGTCTCTGTTCTGTCTTATTCAGTAACCTGGGATGAAAAACTCTGAAGCAGAGAAGGGGCTTGAACCTGGTTCTTCCTCAACCTAGGCCACTGCAATAACAACTAGGATGGATAGGGATATGCACATATAGTTTTGGTCAGAAAATAGGTATTTTGACACACGTCCATTTTCACTAAAACTTTTGAAAGGTTATGATTTTGTTCCAGTGCAGAATAAAACTAAATATGAAACACCCAAAGTTGCTGCAGAACAGAACTATTGTCTTCTAATCAACTCACTTTCACTTCACTCGCTGCCACTTTCAATCTCCTTCCAAACATAATATACAGTGAGTTCTCACATGGATTTATTTCACCTGCTCCTATTGATGGTACAGGAAAGCATTGGTGTACAAACTGTTAAATAAATTCTGAATTTAGAGTTATATTCTTGTATCTCTAAGGAAACGTCGTAAAACAACTTTTAATCTCTAACATAGCACAGAAGTGTTCAGCCTCACGCATGTGCTTTTGTCTCACAGATTTGCCTCAGGCCAATGTCATTTCAAACATGCCAAAACCATCATCCAACACCCATCTTACTGCTGTAACTGTTTCTAATTATAGGGAAGCATAAATACAAGAGGGATCCCTTCTGCAAATCTTACTTGAACAAAACACCTGGTGATTGTAATGGGTTTTTCCTGAGTAAGGATGATGTTTGAGAACTTGGCTTCTTCCTCTACTGTTTTGATAGAAGATTCACTGTGACAATCTTCTATGTACGGTTTTGGGAAATCAGCACATGTATATAAAGCTTGTAGGTATTTCTATATTTATATGGTGTGAGTGGTAACAGAAACTGTGACAGCAGCAGAGCCAGACTAACCTATTTAAAACATTGTAATTGTTTTTAATGTCTGATGGGTTATAGCACCATTCCTTAAATATAAATGTGAAAACAATGGTAAATATGTACAGGCAGTCCCTGGGTTACGTACAAGATAGGGACTGTAGGTTTGTTCTTAAGTTGAATCTGTATGTAAGTTGGAACTGGTGTCCAGATTCAGCTGCTGCTGAAACTGACCGCCAGTTCTGACTTACATACAGATTCAACTTAAGAACCCCAAGTCAGCTGCTGCTTAAACTGATCAGCGGCTGATTCCAGGAAGCCCAGGGCAGAGCAACTCTGCCTCAGGTTTCCTGTAGTCAGCGCTGGTCAGTTTCAGCAGCGGCTGACTTGGGGACGCCTGGGGCAGAGCAGCTGGGGTGCTGCTGGGTTGCTCCAGTAGCGCTGCTCCTCGGCGCTACTGGACCCACCCAGCAGCACCCCA